TTGAGGAACGAGAGGGACTTGACGAAACATGAGTGTTCAACCTGCTGTAGAGGTGCGGCCTGCTGGACAGGTGCGATAAATTCGTGTGTGCTGTCTTACGGCGCTTTGGTGAAAAATGTTATGTGCTGGCGACGGGGGGTATTGGGAATAACAAGTTATGTACGGGGGCATGAAGTCGGGTCACACCGAAATCACGCCAAAAGTTTCCCTGCACACACATTCCCGTAAATTCACTGTATGTAAACCATTCGTGTACGATCTTCCTGCATTGCGTTATGTCTCATTCTACTCCAAAGGCTGTGCCCACACGATACATTGCACGTGTACGCCACATATGTTTTTAGTCTTCGGTATGGCGATACCAAACGCTAAGTCAATCCAAGTGACCCGCACAATCATGCCGTATTTGTAGATTGGGAGGGAGCAGAATTCGTGGCACCGAAAGCGGCTGACAACGTACGAGGGCAAGCGATTGCCAATACAAGTAATGAAGGCAAGCAATGCTTCGTGAGGAACACCATACATCGGCCGGCTTGCATCGGTGCCGGGCAATAGAGGCCAAGACCCTCTGTTTCTATCCCAATCTACTGGATTAAATGTACGTTTCGAGACTACCGTACACGACACAAGGCAACACACCCCGGGGATATCATTTTTTGTATATACTATAGTTTTCTTCCGAATTGCCTTGATAATTATTTCTGTGGCCTACGGAGGGAGACTACAAGGGTAAAACCTGTCGGGTCGTTTGATGTCGCACAAATCGCTTCTACTACCAGTACATAATAACTGGTACGACATACACCCTGCATGAAATTTGACCGCGAAACGTTACGGCACAGCTCAGCCGTTGGGCTTCGTGCCTCTCCGCCCGCCTAGAAAAATCCCAAATCTGAAGGCTTCAAAGAGTTCCTCCACCAAGAAGCACAACGGCGAGCGCTACCTTGGAGAGAGCCAAGCCTGTCTTGCGGCGGTGGCTTGCGGTACCGATTGGCGATGGTCAGCTGTTGTGCACTATAAAGCGCTAAGTGTCGTTTGTCTTTGCCCTTCTTGATCGCCATGGGCTCCCTGCCGTGTGGTGATTTCATGGCGCTTGCTTTCCTCTGTATCTTTTAAGTTCCCGCGAAATGATTAGCATGATGCCTGAGTTCTTTTACTACACGGGGAAACGGACGAAAAGCACGAGGCAGAAGAAAAAGCAGAAAGAAAGCGACAGGGCTACGCAATCGTGCAGCCCGGGTCTCCAAATATCGTGGGCATTCGAACAAAGCCGGGACAGGTTGCATGCGATCAGGCGACGTGCAAGGCATGGTATCGTGTTTTGTGGGGGGGTTACGCGGCGTCGCATCGAATTCCTTCTGGCGGTTCAGCTTAAGGCGCGACCCATGACAAACAAAGAACGGGACCGTACAGCATGTGGTTTCACAGGAAAGGAATAAAGTGGCTTGACCGCCGTTGCCTCTGTGGATATCGTCGGGCGTAACTTGTTTAGCGGGCATCCGATAGTCACCAGCAAGCTGACCGGCAAGCACATCACAATGCCGACAAAAGGCATTTTATCCGCAACTGTCCCCGCCCGCGTCATGGTTCGATGTTGGAAGACGCGTTGAATGATGTAGTTTCTCGAGGGTCCAAAAGGGTTAGTTCCTGCTGTTGCTGCATACTACACCAACCTCAGTGGGAAACACTGGTACTCCTACCCTGCTAGCCGTTGGGGGGGGCATGTAGTTTGTACGCGACTCTGCGCTTTCACAGCTGTGTATCGTTCGAGACATGGCCAACTTTCATGAGGACAATCCCGGGTATCTTGTACCTACAGTAGATCGGTTCCAACTATGCGAACGAAACGGTTTAGGTGCCCAATGCCACTACGCTAGCCCAATGATCTTCACGATGAACGATACCTGACGGACTAAATTTGTGTCGCATAAACAAAAATGCAGCCGTGCATGTGTGCAACAGATGTGCATTGTGCAGCAGACGTGCATATGCACACGTGCACCACGAACAATAAAAGTTGCGTGGCGGAAAATGTTGCATAAAAAAATGTAGCCGTTCTGAAACAGATCACGCATGGAGATACTGCCCCACCAGTGGATGCATTAGCTCCCCAAAACCTAGGCCCTGAAACTGACGCCATTTTCGGCGCCACGTCAGACTGGTGTGGCAAGGGACTGTCTTTGAAACCTCGTTGCGGAAATACCAGCAACGGGCCGATGCATGATGCGCGACCCATATCTTTCGCCCCCCCCAAAAAGCATGAACTGTAGTCTAATGGGCAAGGGTATCAGAGTCGGGCGCAGGGGGGTGTTTCCCCTCTACGCAGCACTTCGTGTGGGCAAGGTAAAGCACAACTTCTCTGGTTTTCTTCGAGGCGCCGCACCCCATTACAGAAGGTGATAACTAGGAGCAAACGCGAATGCCTGCTACTTCGATGTAGCTAGCTGCTGCCCCCCTATGCCGCGTGACCCTCCGACGCGGGCTGCATGCCACACACTGTGCATTCCTCAACACGTGGCCCTTGGGTCCAGTGAACAGGCGTCTATCAAACTCTTGCTGCAGGAGCAGCGAGGTAGCAGAATGAGAACTACGTGAGAACTTTCTCTTTATAGGACCCCAGAAAACCGAAGCACGACATCCGAGACAACACGCCTCCAGGATGGCACAGCACGAACCCATATACATGCGTAGATCTGGGTGATGCTCCGAATTCTTCCGTCCAACATCAACAACAGTTTATTCGGTCTTCGATAACAAACGTAGAAAAAATACCGCCGGTTGTTGTATTCTGTGGGAGGTGTGCAATCTTGTGTAGCCCAGGTGAAAAAGTGCAGGTCGCGGGAGCCATGAGGGGGGTGTAGTACCGAGCGTGTGTGATACACTTGCAGGGACTAAAGTCGTGAGGAGACTGGGGGCGTCTCGGCACCGCCTACAATGAATTACCTATCGTGCCTGCCGCCACACGTACTCAGGGTGTGGTATTGAGGGGGGGTGCACCCCTGCCTGAAAAAAATACTGCTGCCGCACTGACAGGGTGTGAGGTACTGAGCGAGAGTGATGACACTGACAGAGCAGACTACAGCAGGGAAGTTCCTGCCGAGCGTTCGTCGCAGTCGTGCGGAAGAGGTGGGGGGGGGGGGGTACTCA